ACATTCTATTTTTTGGCAAAATTCGTATGAGTTCTTTATTGTATTCGCTAATCTGTCATTCACCTTCCTTAATTTGAGGAAGATAAATTTTGCCAAATTATGTGTCGGTCCATGTTTGTTGTCGATAATCAGTTTTAATTGTTCTCCTTCTTTGTTTACCTTCGGCAAATCGTATGCTATTGGTGCTTTTGCATCCTTTCGTATGGGTGAGTTCATTGTCCATTTGGCGATTTCCCCGTTCCTATTTAATTTATTCAGCCAGGACTGCTAGGATGACTTCCATTTCCAGGTCTATTTTTGTTCTTGCGACCTACGTAATCGTGTAAGAGCACCAGTAGCATACAATTTGCCGAAGGTGTGTTAAGAAGGAAAACCGTTGAGATTGATAATCAACAACGAGCCAACACATAATCTAGTAAAATTTATCCGCCTCAGAAATGAGATAACTTAGCTTCAAAATCATCTATTTTCTTGTATTAATCAAAAAATAAGAAAGTGTAACAGATGCAACAAATTGTGGGAAGTAAAACGTGCGTCAGGAAATTACAAACAGATACTTATTACTCGTAACATGTTTTTGTGATGCTTTCATATATTCCAGAAAACATTCAATAACGTAACGCTCACGGTGTCCCTTGTCACAGTTCTCCACTATTTTTAAAGAATCTGACTGTTTATTGTAGACACTCGAAGACCCTTAGTCGGCATCTTAGCCATCTTTGTTATTAAACAACGCAGTCAGCACCGAGCTCAATTTCGTAGAACTGACACGTCTATTGATAAGATTGCAGCTGCTTATAAATAACATTGATTAGGATGCAAGAAAAAAACTTTAAAATGAACCCAATCAATGGTCCAACCTCGGAACCACACATAACAGTGATGACAGAGGATATAATTAGCCATATTTATTGATATCTCCATTAAAGCATGCATAAATAGCCAAAATAAAGCCCAAAGAAACAAATCGTAATGAAGGGAGACAACGTCTAGGCTAAATACCAAACCATCTTGGTATTCAAAGCTATGCATTTACTATGTAGAAAAACTGGGTTTCGAAGAATCCCCTAATAGATTGAGGTTGCAATACCATTCCTTTCGTGTGAAGAGGCAAGTGGAAGGGATTGTAAGTTGGCCTTATCGGAAGCTGTAGCGGGATTTACTTGGAGATTTGGCAGTAGATAAGTGTGAATATGTCCTAGGCGCAGCGTCCTGTGAAGAGCTGGTAGTCGAATTTTCCTACAATGATATGAGTAGAGCTGACATTTCTATTGAATGTCACATAGCCTTGCTTTCCCAAAAGTTCTTCTCATCCAGGGTGGACTGCAGTTTCGACCTCGCATCGGTCTTATCAACATCCCCAGCGGAAGTCGAATCATGACAGCGCAGAGTGGAATCTTGACACATTAACCACTCGGCCACATTGCCACGAGTGACCTTTGGTCACAGGGCAAATGTGAATTTCAAGGAAGGCCAAACCTTTTGCCATATCATATTTTTTGTTGGGAGTCTTGCCTTTCAAAAAGGTATTCTCATCCAGGGTGGACTGCAGTTTCGGCCTAGCCTAGGTCTTATCACACACTCAGCTGAATTCGGACTGTGACAGTGCAGCGTATAACCTCGACACATTAACCAATACGCCACAATGCCACGAGTGCCCCATAGCAAATATAACATTGCTTCATCGGCAATTCAACCACCGAATATGATACGGAAAATACATGGCATTCCTTTAAACTCGCATCTACACTGTGACCCAAGAACATTCGTGGCAATGTAGCATAGTGGTTAATGTGTCGAAATTATACACTGTAGTGTCATGGGTCGAGTCCAGCCAGGGATGCTGAAAATACCTGGCGATTTAGAAACTGCAGCCCACCCTGGATAAAAAAAAACTTTTAGGAAAGCATGGCTACATATAATTCAATGGGAACGTTACCTCTACTCATATTATTGTGGGAAAATTCAACAACCATTCCTTCTCCACCTTAAACGAAATAGGGTGAACGTATCTCATATACGTGATTTACTGGTAGTCTTGAAAGCCTACTTACAAACGAAAAAAATGTCAGTCCTTTTTCTTAAAATTCAACAGGGTGATATTCAATAATTCAGTTATAATAGACTAATTAGAGACATGTCCCATGTTGCATCTACTTTTATAGAAAACTTGGAGGGATATCTGCAAAACGTCTAATTACGTTCAGTTTCGCTTTCCAAAAACGTAAATGCTCAACAAATTTCAGCAAAGCTAAAAAAATTCATTCTTGCTCGTATTCCATCAGCTTTAATTGTATCATGGCAACCAATATCTCACAGCATGTATAGTTTAATGAATAGGGGTAAATAAATAAATCTATTTGATAATGCTGAGTCGATATATGCAATTCCTTATTTAAATGAAACCAATTTGAAAAGGAATACATGTATGGCCTCATATTTTGAAACTAAATGCTCTAACTTACCATTGTCAATATTTCTTGATGAGCAGATATTTTCAATAAATCAGTGCCTATTAATAATCAGCAATGAAAATAACCACATGCTAACCATTCCATGAAAATGGGTACATTGAGCTGAGCCATTATGTTATGTATATATATATATATATATATATTGAATGAGCCTTATTTTAAGCATTATAACAATAGTGTTAGGGATACAAATTTACTAATAAAAGAGAATAAGAACAAATAATTAAAAACTGCTCATAGGCAAATGAATATAGATTGTTGTAGAGACTTTAATTCCATATTGAAATGCATTAACGATTCTTAGGTCGACTGCGACAGAAGACGACGGCTAAATGCCACTATTATGCAGCCATTTTGCTTTAATAATTACACTTAATGAAAAGAATCGAGAGAAAGTTGAGTCACCGACTCTTCTAAGTAATTACTCTAAGCAATAGAGGGTATTGTATATAGGCGTTGAAAGACACAGTTAAATCTGAGAGAACTGACCAAGCAACTATATAACCATCTATATCTGAATATTTTTTCGTTTAGGGTATATAGCATGTAGGATAGAGCCGGTTAGTATGCTTGACTTAGTGTTAGCCTGATAATTTTTCACGAGCAAATTCAAACTCTGATGAGCCTTTTCATATGAAAAACCCAAGTTCAGCCCGTTTTAACCCGAAACAAGGGATATTTTGTGGACTGTCAACGTGAACGTTGTATTAAGATCAAGCGGCTGAGAAACAACTTGAATCAGCCGTCGTCTTTTGACAAGATTGGCCTGAGAATCTGTCTATAATACACTTTTATACAAGTAAAAGACTCTGTATTACAATAGATCAATTGAAGCCCTATTTATCTGCGTATATTAGAAGATTATATAACACTTGAATAGCCAGTGTGTATAGGACTACTTGACGCGTATTTTAATGCAAGATAGTAACGCTTATATGAGCCATTATTGTATGATCTAGTAAATTTTTGAATATGATATTAATGTCGCTGAAAATAGTTTCATATAGTAATATATACATTTATAAATGGTATAAAATAGCTAAAAGAATAAGCCCATATATAATTCAAACAATGAGACAGCTTATTGTAATTTAATGGAAATTTACAATATATATTTTTAGAGAAAAAAACACTATTAATATAGGTAGAGTAGACAAAAAGACAACTTGATTTACACACCCTGAAAGAGAAAAGCATCTATCACATCCCGTATTTGGCGAAGTTCCATTGCTCCTAATGGAATCGAATACCTAGGAGGAAATTGTGTTCGAAATCTATGACCAAATGAAGCTGAGAGACACGTATAATATATAAATAAATCCTCATATTTCACAAATGAATGAAGACAGCCATTAATAAGTATTTCATATACCTATAATTAAATAAATATATAAATATGAACTTGCATAATGAGGCGTTCCATCACTAATAAGCAAATGGATTTTCCCAACTGATAAATGCATTTACCAAATTTTATATTAAGCGGTATACGCTATTTGATTATATGCAACTAATGACACTATGTTATTTTCTTAAGTTAGGATCTTAATTTATTTAATATAAATTTTGTTTTAGTCATTATGTGCAATGAAACGCACTATTGCGGTACGTACTTTTTGCTTCTATCATTAATAGTTTAGGCATCCTCTAATAGCGCTCCAATACCCTCCAGAAGCTCAGAGAGCGCTAGAGACTGCAGGAAACGTAAAGCTCTTAGGATACAATATTTAGCTGAAAGTGTTCGTCAAAGAGAGATGACAGTTCTTAAAATGGTCCAAGATATTAATAAGGTATGTTGACTCTCTATAATTTTCAAGCTCATGGAAGCGTGTCGAATGGTTGACGCCGGCGAATACCCCCAAAGCGTTATCAACGACTTGGGAATTTCTCTTGAACTCTGTATGTTATAAGTACCCACCATCTTATAAATTATTTTGCGCATCAGCCTATTTTTTACTTATACCTGGCCCATATACCTTCTAATATAGGATACAAAATAGGTTCAATATGGCATAGCATCTGAACTTTGTTGTCGTTATCTTCTCTTTGATTATTGGCGTCGTTTAGTTTATAGGAGTTGTAGATGCTTCTTGTCATACGTCTATTCGTGCGATTCATTATTTGCAAATTTGCTCAATCATATAAATTATTTTGGGAACAAACCCTTGATACGACCTGTTTACTTGTTAGTACTGGCTTCTTTGCGCATATCAGCCCTTAAGAAATTATACCACATTTCTTTTTCATTTTTATTCTCAGGCAAATTAATACTTAATGCTTCATCCGTTCCTTTTCTCGCGTTTTTCATAATAGTTATTTTGTTCTCAAACCACCCATTGTCTGTCTAGATACACTTTTTTATCAGTCCATATATGAATCAAAATAGAATCAAGCGAATAATTTAGGCGAATCTTCGTGTCTACTGACATCTACAAGCCTATTTGGTAATAATTTTGAGGCTTTACTCTGATCATTCGAATTTAATTTTTAGGGTTGCGAAATATTTATAGTAGATCTCTTTTAAGCAATATTGTTTATTCCATTATTTCATATTCTTATGTTATCTCCGTTCTCAATTACATTGATGTTTTCCTTATCCACTTGTGGGAATTACGTATGTTTGGAGATCCGATAAATAAATTTACATGTGTTAATAGTTATTCATACTATTCTTATGAAATTCAGTTTTGCTTCAATCCTATGGATTTTTTCATTACCTGATGCGCTGGCTAATTCCGCTTTTGCCTTATCTACTCTTTATTTAATCATCATTAAACTCTTGTCTTCAGTATTTTCCAAACAGATTTTACTCTATTTTTTAAATTC